CTATTAATTGTTTTATCTCTTGTTCTTCTCGAAAGTTATTCATATAATAATTGTTTACAGTCCATGACACCTTAAAGATAAAACATTAAGACGTTTCAAATTTTTACACATCTCAATTATTAAAATAGCACTGAGAAAAATAGATATTAAGCCTTATTATCTAGATATTAATGGTCAATATCTTTGACAGTGAACTATGTAGACATCTTGGATGTTCAAATTTAATATCTAAGATATTGGAAAAAGACTTGTTCAAACATAACCTCACATTTACAGATTATACTTTTTAACATCTGAGATATTAAACCATAACATCTGGATGATATGTATTAGCATCTTTTCTTAATATCTAGTATATTAAGCTTTTTAATATCCAGTTTTCTCAGTGAGGTATTACTTTTTCAAATTAACGACAAAAAAATGTACCTTTTTATTAAAAACTTTTAATTTTAAAAAAATTCGCATTTTCTGCCTTGACTATTTTTAACTATCGATTTTTGTTGAAATACTTTTGTCAGATTAGTATAAACCTAAAAATTTTACTAGACCGCGGGACAAGATCATTGGGCTTTAAAAAATTATTTTTTCTGAAAAAAACCAAACTTTTAATTTTAAAAAAATTCAAATTTTCTTGCTTGACTATTTTTAACTATCGATTTGTTCTGGAATACTTTTGTCGGATTACTGCGAACCTAAGAAACCTTTTTAGACTGCGGGGCGAAAACATTGGGTTTAAAAAATGATTTTTTCTGAAAAAAACCCGATTTTAATTTTGAAAAAATTTAAATTTTCTTGCTTGACTATTTTTAACTATCGATTTCTGTTGGAATACTTTTGTCAGATTACTGCGAACCTAAGAAACCTTTTTAGACCGCGGGGCAAAAACATTGGGTTTAAAAAATGATTTTTTCTGAAAAAAAACCCGATTTTAATTTTGAAAAAAATCAAAATTTTCTTCCTTGACTACTTTTAACTATCGATTTGTGCTGGAATACTTTTGTCGGATTACTGCGAACCTTAGAAACCTTTTTAGACCGCGGGGCGAAAACATTGGGTTTAAAAAATGATTTTTTCTGAAAAAAAGCCGATTTTAATTTTGAAAAAAATCAAATTTTCTTCCTTGACTATTTTTAACTATCCATTTGTGGTTTGCTTTATTTCTTGTTAATATTTGTTAATTATTATTTAAACTTTCTTTTTTTTAAATATAGGCAATAATATATTGTTATTTATTATTATTATTATTTTTATTAACTTATTGTAATGACATTTTTTTTGAATACAAATAAAAGAAAAATCATATAAATATTAAATTTAAACATAATTAATGATTAATAATGAAGCTTAAAAGATAGAAAAAACTCGAAAAAGTGAGGTTATGTTAAATAAAAAAATCAAGTTTTCTAAACATTCTTTGTTCCACTGTTGGTTAATAACAAAATTATATTATAAATATAATTAAAATAAATTATTAAATTATTTAATGATTTTTTTGCTTATTTCTTAATGTTACATTATTTTTCAGGATTCCTACAGAAATCCGAATTTAAAATTCCATACCTTTTCCATGATTTCCAGATCAAATTTTTACGAAATTCCAGTGGAATTTGAAATCTAATTTCATTATTTTTCGGCTATTGAAAAACACTTAACTTATTGAATAGTCTAGCTTCTTTGTAAAAAATCTAAAACTATCTGAAATTATTAATAATTCAAAAATCTGAATTTTCTGAAAATTCTACAAATTTTCCTCTCTTTTATTTGATTTAGCTCCATTATTTTTGTGCTTTTAGAAAATACTTTACTTATTAAATAGCCTCGACTCTTTTGTAAAAAATCTAAAATTTTCGAAAATTTTCAAAAATTCAAAATACCGAATTTATTAAATTTCTACATATTTTCGTCTCTCTTATTTGATTTAGCTCCATTATTTTTGTGCTTTTGGAAAATACTTTACTTATTAAGTAGTCTCGATATTTTGGTAAAAAATCTAAAACTATGTGAAATTATTAATAATTCAAAAATCTGAATTTCTTAAAAATCAACATTTTTTCGTCTCTTTTATGGGATTTAGCTCTATTACTTTTGGGCTCTTCAAAAATTCTTTACTTATTAAATAGTCTCGACTCTTTGGTAAAAAATCTAAAATTATCAAAAATTATAAAAAATTCAAAAATGCGAATTTCTTAAAATTCAACATTTTTTCATCTCTTTTACGGGATTTAGCTTTATTATTTTTGGGCTTTCGGAAAATACTTTCCTTATTAAATAGTATCGATTCTTTGGTAAAAAATCTAAAATTATCAAAGATTATCAAAAATTCGAATTTCTTAAGGGGGGAAACCACATTAGGAGGCTCATTTTTATGGATTTTTTAAGATTTTCTTGGGGGGGGGAAGAATCATTTAAAATTTAATAACATTTAAGCATCTTTTTATTTATGTTTTGAACAATGTTTACAAATTTTTTTGATTTATTTTAATGAGAAATGAAGCAGTTATGCAGTGGTTACCGCTGATGGTCCAAATATATTTTCTCGGCTTGCGTGCAGTCTAGCAATTTTAATTTCTATTTAAAATCAAATTTTTTTCTTGTCTTACATTTTTAACTTATTTTCTAAGAATATGAACCTCAATCCAGGTAAAAATAATGAAATTTACAAATTTTTGAAGGTGTTTGAATTTTTTTAAATTTTCACAAGTTTTTTTCACTAATTGTACCTAAAAAAACACCGTTAAAATCGTGATAACACCTCAAATGTTGGTTCATATTCTTCGTAATTTTATAAAGAATGCAACTACCAATTTTCAAAATGATTGGTAAATATTTGTTTAAGTTAGAGCGCACGCAAATATGAAAAATGTCATTTCGAGAAAAACGCGTTTTAATAAAGGCCGCGCGGTATCGCTTGCGGCCTATGTACTCGATGAGCGCTCGGGTCTATGCTTGTAATACTAAAAGGAATGCAAATTTTGCTTTAAAACTTTGAGAACGTATTTTTCAATAGCTAAGCTAACGATTTATGCAATAAAAAAAAATCGATTTTTTCAACCTCCTAATGTGGTTTCCCCCCTTAAAATTCATCATTTTTTCCTCTCTTTTATGGAATTTAGCTTCATTATTTTTGGGCTTTTGGAAAATACTTTACTTATTAAATAGTCTCGACTCTTTGGTAAAAAATCTGAAATTATCGAAAATTATCAAAAATTGGCATTTTTTTGGAAGAAAGAGAAGGGAGTTGGCAAATTTAGAAATTTAAAGTCATAAATAAAATATTTATTCATAATTTAATCAAGTATATTATTTACTCTGCTAATTCAAATTAAAAAAATTCTTTTAAAAAACGTTTTAAACAGGAAAAGATTGATTAATGAAAATGAAATACATATTATAGTAAATAGTATGCATGCAACTAACTTGTCAAGTGGCATCACAGTTTGTGACAGTCCACTTTGTTGTTCCCTCGATGGATGCTGAGCCCACGTTGTGGCGATGGGATCAACCTTCGCGACATCACCTCTTCTGGGTCACCCCTAAAGATCCCTGGCTCTTGATTGCACTTCGGCGCCAGATTAGGGGCCACACGGAACCGTAAAATTAGAAAATTTAAGGGGTTACGCCACCCTGAAATTTTCAAAAAAATTTATTTTTTTTTTTGCTTAATTTCAAAGTTTATATTCTAACGAATATTTTGAGATGTCGCCGAAGACAATGTCTCACTAATTACAAAAGTTATGGTCATTAGAAGTCAGCGCGGTGGGGACGCGCCGAGAGCTGCTGGAAGCAGCGACTTTCTATTTTCGAATGGTCTAGGGGGCCCTTTCATGATTTAGGAAGGGTCCTTTTCATTGTATCCCTTCCATTCTTAAATAAAAAAAATTATGGCCCAGGAATTGCTGATTAAATAGTAAATTGAAAAATTTTCAAGTTATAATACACTAAAGTTCATTTTTTTCTTCTTTTGCGTTTTTCTCGAAACCACAATTTTCGAGACGGTGTACACGATAACTCAAAAACTATTCAATCGATTGACTTGAAAATTAATATACATCTTCCTAAATAGATTTTCCACAGAGTGACGTGGGATTTTTTTGATTGAATAATTTGAAAATTTTTTATCCAATTTTTTATACGGTAATTTTAGCCAAAAAAAAAATGTCAATTTTTGAAGTGCTTCCATTTGCGTAAAAAATTTTTTTTTTTAAAATGGCTTCGTCACTCTGTTCAAAATTTATCACTTTTTAAGAAAAATATTGTTTTACTTGTTTCTGACAAAAATTGAACTGCCAATCATGTACACCATCAAGGAGTGCTCCGGAAAAATTGATCCACGCCAATAGTTATATCTCCGCCATTTTTAATTAAAAACAATTTTTTTTTAAATATTTATAAAGCTCAATATATGTACTAAAGCATCAATAAATGTAAAGAAGTCCTACCTGAAACAGTTTTATCAAAAAAATTCCTAAAAAACCATCCGATTTTCATGCGTTCAGGGTGGCGTAACCCCTTAAATAAAAGTAAATAAAAAATTGACTAAATGGAATGCTTTAAAAAAATTTTAAAAAATAGTCTAGACTGAAAAGAATTTAATATACACGGCAGTGTGCAGGGACCACTTTTCTTCTCCACATATATTTCCTCCTGTCCTTTCTTCTTCTTTTTTTAAACTGCCCTGTGCACTGAAAAAAAAGCAAATTGAACACTCAACACACATAGCTCTTTTTTTTTCTCTAACAGAGAAAAAAGTGTTTCAAAATTAATCTGCTTCTGAAGACGTTAAATTTAAAAAAAATCGCAACTTCCGTAATTTTGATCAAATAAAAAAATAAAAAACAGGTATTTACTTATTTTTCATATAGAATTCGAAAAAAATTGTTTTAATTAAAAATAAATTTTGATTAATTTATAATTAATAAAATTAAAATTTATTTAAGCTTGAAATTAAAATTAATGTTATCTTTAAAGAACAATATTTTTATAAAAATATCCTAGTAGTTTTATAGTTGTTAAAAATAAGTAGACTAATTTTCATTCTAGTAAATTATTTTAGTTATATATTTGCGTTTTTAAAATAAGCGCGTAGGAGTTTACGTCAATTTCACATTGAACTTAGCGAAAGCGCAGGGACACATGTGGGGGTTCTTTGCATCGGCAGGTGCATGAGTGGCCCGCCTTACACTCTGTTTCATTGGAGTTTTCAGCAACTGACTTGATCGTTCCTTTTCGTCGTAACCTTCGAGGCGTTTGGACTGGTGGCGTTTGTCTGTTTCATTTTGATTTTTATTTTATTGAAATTAATGCCTGATGGACGATCTTCTTAGGATTTGGGATTTAGAATCCCTTCAAAACATTTTTAAAGGTAAATGCAGCGCGAGATGCAGCGGCAGTACAGTTTCAATGAAATGAAACAACTCAGCGCGCGTCATGTCCATGCAGAAGCAAATCGAAAAAAACCGTAGAATAAATTATTATTTGTATTAATTACAAAAAAACTGTTTATTTTTTAATAATCATTATTTTTCATCTACATCGATATAATTATCTTATTGATAAAAATAATTAGTTACGTGAAAATTTCTAAGTATACATAACCTCCAAATTCGATCAAAATGTTTCTCATCACAAGAATTTTTTGAATATTATATAAAAATAAATTTTGTCCTAAGTCAAAAAAATGTCAAGAGATCAGGAAAATAATTTTTTTTCACATAAATTTTTAAAATTGAAGAAAAAACAATTTACGACAGAACGGCACTCTATGGTCCGCCGTTGGGCGGTAGAATGCCAGTTCCGCGCCAGTTGTAAATTTCCGCCTGCGCAAATATTTGACTGTGAACGAAAATTGAAAAATTAATTTTTGTGTCAACCTTGTTATTTTATTTATTAATTTATATATTTTACTGTGTATGTAAAAATATGTTGCAGTATTTAAAATAATTTTTTTTTATTTTACTATTTGTATTTTTTTTTTTTTATTATTATTTATTTATTATTATTATTATTATTATTATTATTTATTATTTATTTATTTTTTTTTTTATTATTTTTTTTTTATTTTATTTTATTTTTTTTTTTTTTCTATTTTTTATTTTTTGTATTTTCAAAATATCGATTTGATAGCTTGCGAAAATCTTCAAAAGGAAGATATTGATATTCTAATACCTGATGTTGGTCGGAAAGTCAAGTTTAGAAAATATTGGGAAGAGCATTTTAAAAAAAATTAGACACTGTTAAAACACCTGAAGTAAGAACTTCGGAATTGACACTTCATGCAGTAAGTGTTTATTGTATAAATATAGTAATAAGACTGTATAAAGTAAAATTATAACAAATAAGTTTCTTTTGTTTTTGTGTACTTTGTATTTGACGTATTTTTGATGAAATTTAAATTTTTTAGAACGAATTGGAAGCAAGTGAAACAGACAATTCTTTTAATGAGACTGATAGATCGTTTGTTGGAAGAGAAATGCTAAAAGCATTAAATTTACCGACAGTTACGTGTACACTGAAAGAGTCCAAAGAAGGACGATCAATTCTAAAATTTTATTCGATACATAATGAGCTTCATCATGAACATCGGGAAAAAATTGTTGACCTTGCAATAACTAATTGCATCGAGAAAGTTGATTGGTTATTATTCAATTCTTAATAACTATTATGATTTTATTATTTTAGATAATTCTGTTTTTTATTTACATTAAAATAAATTTTAATTTTATTGTTATAAATTGATGTATAGTCCTTTAGAACAATTTAATATTTTTTCTTTTATGATTTTTTATTTATTTTTTTCTTTTCTTTTATATATATATATATATATATATATATATATATGATTGAAGAATTTCTGAATAATCGATGAAATTTTGTACAATTGAATTGTTAACAAAAGGATTTAAGAAAAAAAAAATTTTTATTTTTGCAACAGGTATTACAGATGGTGGATGTCACGTCAAAACTCCACCCAAAAAAAAAATGTTGTCCAATTATTCCCAAATTTTTTTTATGATATGCCCTATAGGTTAGTAATTTATCATATAAATTTTTTTGAATTTTATAAAAAATTGTCCAAGGGGGAGGGGGTAGAAGTTCTGAACTTTTGCGTGACGCGCTCCACTTTGATTATTTCTTATAATTAGAGGAAAAAATTTTAAAAAAAATTAGAATATGGGTTTTTTAGATTTTTTCATGGGCTTTCGAATGGCAAAATCTATTTTCAAAAATTTTTTTATTTTGACCTAAATTTTGAAAAAATAAAAATAAATTTTCACTTTTCGCATCTTTGGGTTCATTTTTTCTTTTTCCTTTTATTTTTAAATGAAAGCTGAGCTTTTTTCTGATAAAATACTTGTTTTCCAAAAAACCGTTTTTTTTTGTTTTCGAGAAATGAATTTTTGAATATATACGTCGTCGCGCCGCAATTTAATTTATAAAACGTTACAATGAACTATTTTCTGCATTTTACAGGATTGAGACTGACATTAGAACAATATAATGCCTGCATTATAGTTTTTTTTATTTTTTTAAATTAAAAAAAATATTTATTTTTTAAAATTTTTAACAAAATTAAAAAAAAATTTTTTTTAGACTTTTATTTTTAATTTAATGCCTACAATTTAGTTATTTTCATTTCTAAAGTAAAAAAAAGCGAACAGAAAAATAAAATACAGGCATTAAATTAAAAATAAAATTGCAAAAAAATTTTGTTAAAAATTTAAAAAAATAAATATTTTTTTTAATTTAAAAAAATAAAAAAAAACTATAATGCAGGCATTATATTGTTCTAATGTCAGTCTCAACCCTGTAAAATGCAAAAAATAGTTCATTGTAACGTTTTATAAATTAAATTGTGGCGCGACGACGTGATGCGCTATATTCAAAAATTCATTTCTCGAAAACAAAAAAAAACGGTTTTTTGAAAAACAAGTATTTCATCAGAAAAAAGCTCAGCTTTCATTTAAAAATAAAAGAAAAAAGAAAAAATGAACCCAAAGATGCGAAAAGTGAAAATTTATTTTTATTTTTTCAAAATTTATGTCAAAATAAAAAAATTTTTTAAAATAGACTTTGCCATTCGAAAGCCCATGAAAAAATCTAAAAAACCCATATTCTAATTTTTTTTTAAATTTTTTCCTCTAATTATAAGAAATAATCAAAGTGGAGCGCGTCACGCAAAAGTTCAGAACTTCTACCCCCTCCCCCTTGGACAATTTTTTATAAAATTCAAAAAAATTTATATGATAAATTACTAACCTATAGGGCATATCATAAAAAAAATTTGGGAATAATTGGACAACATTTTTTTTTTGGGTGGAGTTTTGACGTGATATCCACCAGATGCAGATTACATAGGAGCATGCATTGCGCGGGTCGCGGTACTCTTAACGAGAATGGAGAATTTTTTATTACTTCTGCCCACTCACATGCACCCAATAGAAGGGAAGAGCAGGAGAGAGTTTTTCGCCAAGAATTGTACAATGCTGCGAGAAATCAACCCCACGGAAATCGAGAAATATATAATAACATTAGAAATTTGTAAGTATTGTGTTTTATTATTTACATTTTATTATTCTTTTTTAAATTTTGGTGATCCCTTTGAGAAATCCTGACTCAGTTATTAAATATATACGGCGGTCTTGGAACGATAAAAAGTTTTATACTTATATTATATTTTTTAAGCCACGGAAATGCACATATTGGTATGCCTTTTAACAATATGCAAGCGAATATGAACCGGTGGAGAGTGCAAAATGTGCCACCAAATCCTGTCAGTATAGAATCATATGCCAGGCTGTTAAATAGTGAAGAATGGAATCATTTACGACATTACAACAACGGTTCCCTTCAATTCCAGTTAACAACAGAGGAAATAGTTCCATCACTTGTTATTTTTGATCCGAATTTTGTCGCAGACCTTTTCTTAAACGCAGAGTTATACATAGACGTATCGAAGAAGGCGATTCCGGCCAATATAGAATGCGAACAACTCCTAACAATTATGAGCGTCAAAAACGGCTACGTAAGTAATGATCAGATGATAAATTTTGTAACAAAATTTAAACTCTTCTAAATTATATAATATTTTAATTTGACAGGGTTGTCACAAAAATTTAATTTTGTTTTTCCCTGATTTCCAGACAAAATTTTTATTTCTTTGCTGACTCTAACGAATATTCTGTTTTAGTCTAAAAATATTATTAAATACTAAAAAAAATGTTTTATTGCATTTATTTACAAATTTCTTTAATTGGAAAATTATTTTAAAATATTAATAACTTCTTTCTTAAATAAATATTTAATTATTATTATTTTTCCGTAGGAATTAAGATTTTCAAAATTTCAAATTTAAACTTTTTGAAATTAAACAACTTATAAAAGTACTGTTATAAAACATGAAGAAATCGATTCACTCCGAGTATTTGACTCGAATCTCTCTCTTCCTGTTTTATAATAATTAAAGGTGACCAAGAGATCAAATCTTTATTTTACATTAAAAAAACATTGTTTCAGTAACTTTTCAAAAATTATTTTTAATAATTTTTGTAAAAGTTTCTTTGATAATTTTCAAATCTATTTGTTTACAATTCGATTGTACGAAATTTCTTCCATTACTCGAACATTTTTCAATCTTCAATTACATACCAATTAGGAAATAAAAACTTGAAATAATTAAAAAAAATTCAATTAAACGATTTCAAAAAATTTAATTTTATAGAATTGTTAGAAGTAGAAAAATTCATATTGTTAAAGATTTTAATTTGAAATTTTTTCAAAATTTAATTATTTCTAAAAAATTCAAAATATAATGCTTTTATTATTCAAAAATTATCTACCAGTATTCAAATATTTAAATACAAAAATTAATAATTTATTGAAAAAATGAATGTTTCTTAAAAAAGAATTCTTTCAAAAAATTTCGTTACAATTTTTAAGAATAATTACATTTTTCGAGGAATTCTATTAAAATTGTATTAAAAATAATTAAATTTCTGCAATGAATTCTATTATTTATAGAAATAATTGATTTTAATTTCATTATTTCAAAAAATAATTGAATATTCTTGTAGAATTTTGTCAAAATTGTTTTTAAATAATATCGTTCTTTCGATAAATTTTATTAAATTAACTTATATACAAATTATTCCATTAAAAATTTTTTAAATTGCAATGAATTTTATTAAAATTTTTTTAAATAATTTAATTCATGTGATAAATATTGTTATTTATAAAAATAATTAAATACATGAAAGGAATTTTAAAATTTATAAAATAATTGAATTACTGCAGAAAATTATTGCCAAATTTTAAAACATTTGATTTTTTCGAAAAAATTTGTACAAATTTTATTTTATAAATTGAATTTTAGTGAAATTTTTATTTTTTGGAAAATAATTGAATGTTTGTGTATTTGATTTTAGATTCAGATTTAGTGATGTCATATGTATGACTTTTCATTCTTTTATATTTCCCATACATAAATTAACAAACTACCATTAAATAAATTAAAAACCACAGAAATTTTACAACTAAATTAAATAATAGACATTTATAAACTATGAAACATACTATTTACATTTAACTAATTCCTTGAAGGCTCTTGTGTATCGACAGAGTTCGATACTCAGCTTATCTAACAACATTTTTCTAACTTCTTGCGGATCAATATTATTCCCACCATCAGTACATTTTTTTACTTTCTAAACCCACTTTTTGTATATTAACTCCCTTGCTTTTTTACAATAATAATAATGATAATAATAATAAATAATAATAATAAAATATGTAGGTTATTCCTTGCATCTGGGCACTGATGACTTCAGATTTCCGCCAAAGTTATGTCGAAGTTTTTCAACAAATAAGACGCTGCATTCCGCATATGTCTATACGTTCTGTCGTTACAAGTTATGGAAGAAACTTGCAAGAAAGCTTACAATCAGAATTTCCAAATGCAACGATTTCAGGAAGTCTGCATCATTTCCATGAGGTAAACTATAGTCATCTTAAATGAGTTTCAATTAATAAATTTATCATTTTAATAGGAGGCACAAATATCCTAGGGGCCATACACATAATACGTCACGCGATTTTTGATTATTTTAGACCCCCCCCCCTCCCCCCATGTCACACACTGTCCCATATATTAGCGCCATTTTTTCTATAGGTAGTCACAAATCTCTTGACCCTCCCCCTGTTCGCGTGACGTATTATGTGTACGGCCCCCTATACAAATTGTTAGTTCAAATTTAACAAAAGGGGATTTCCATTTAACTGAATTTTTTGAAATAGAGCGTAAATTACATCGAATTTTTATATCAAAGTTATTTAGCAATTTTTAATGAGCAATTTAGCATTTTTTAATATGTTTGGAATAAATTTAATTATTTTCTAAAATCTTAATAAATCCTTCGAAACAATTAAATTATTTTTATAAATGGTAAAATTCTTCGCAAGAATTCAACTATCTTTATAAAAAGTAAAATTCCTTGCAGGAATTCAATTATTTTCAAAATATATTTCATTGAATTTCTCGGAAGAATTCAAATATTTTCAAATATTTCTATAAAATTCAAATATTTCCTAAAATTTTTAATAATTTTTTCAAAACAACTATTTTTATAAATTACTAAATAAATTTTCAAAATTTACAATAAAAAAGAGTTTTAATAATTAAAATTTTGTAAAATTTAATTGAAAATAATTGTTTTTTTTGAAAGCGTTTAATAAAAATTTTTGAAAATAAACTTTAAAAGAATTTTAATTGTAAATTTTTAAAATAATTGATTTTTCCAAAATTTTAATGAAAAATCTTCAAGTGTAAATTAAAAAATGGTAATTAATAAAAATTAGCTCCAAAAAATTATATTAAAATATTTTTGATCAAAATAATTCTTAGAATTTTTGCATTCTAATTTTTTAAAATTCAATTATTTTCAATATTTTTAAATAAAAATTTCCAAAAATTCAAATACATACAAAAAATAATAATATTAAAATTTTTTACAATTATTTTTAACATTTTAACGACATATGACTTTTTAGATTTATTAAAATTTTGGAGAAATCGCGTTTATATTAATAATTAAAGTTCTTAAAAAATTCAAATATTTTTTTTAATTTAATTTACCAAATTTCAATTGCTTTGAAAATTTTTCAATTCTATACAATTGAAAAACTATCTTTTATAAATTATTTTTAAAATATTTTTGAAAAATTAATTTTAGGAATTTCTTTATTATAATTTATTGAAAATTAATGAATAACTTTAAAAAACAGGGGACAGTTAGAATTATTATAAAGAACTGAATTTTTGTATTTAAATAATAAATCTGTTTATATTGTGACCTTGGGTTCAAAGGACCCAAAAATTAAGATCCTGAAAATATTCTAAATTGTATTTAAATAATTGAATTCTCTAAGAACTTTCTGAAAATTATTAAAAATAATTGATTTCGAAAAGAAGTTTGATTAAAAATTGTAGAAAATAATTGAATTTAAAGAGAATTAAAATTGTAATTTTTAGAAGTTATTAAATTTCAGAAGGTTTTAAATAGACATTTTTTTAAATTTTATTCCCGTATAAAAACAAACAAGAAGTATTTAAATATTAATTATTTAACGAAATTATTCAAGTTTTAAGAATAAGAAATAAAATTTTTGTTATGACACTGAATTCAATAAACTACTTTTTCGACTTTTTTTCTATTTTAAATCGACTAAAGCGACTTTTTTTGCACCTTAAAGTCGAAATGAAATTTCTCGAAAAAAGTTATTCTTAAAAATTTTTTTTAATTTATCAAAGAAATTTAATTATTTTAATAATCTTTGCTACAATTTATTTATTAGAATTAAAGTATTATCTTTAATAAATTTTTAATTAAATTTCTTTAAAGAATAAAATTACTTTTAATAATTTTAATGCAAATATTTGCGTAACAATTCAATTTTTTTTTAAAATAATTTTAATAGAATTCGTCGCAGAAATCAAATTCAATTGTTTAATAATTGAAATTCTTCGTAAAAGAAATATTATTCTCCATAAAATATAATAAAATTTTTGTCAAGAATTTAATAATCTTTATAAATAATAAAATTCAAAAATATAAAAAATTTCTTTACCAGAATTCAATTACCTCCATAAATATTGAGATTATTCCCAAAAAATGTTAATAAAAATCTTGGCAAGAATGTAATTATTTTAATAATTAATCAAATTGTTCACCAAAAACTTCAAATATATTCAAAAATAATAAAAAAGTATTTCAAAATACACTCGACTTTCGGATCTTTTGCACTTAGATCTTTTACACTCTCGCTTCTTTTGCACTTTTTCTCCCGCACCTTTTACCTTTTACATTCAATAAATAAATAACTGTCAGTGTCAAAACATTTATTTCACGATAACTTTGGTTATCTAAAGTAAATTATAATAGCTCCTTCATTATGTGATTAAAATTATAATAAAATTTTAATTATTATAAATGTAAATATTAAAACTAAAACATAAACACTGTCATTAATTTACGTATTTGGTTATACATATAGTATTGTTTTGCGTTACCATGGCATTTGTTTTGGTAAAAGGTATGAGAGGATTTGGTCCCATAGGTGCAAAAGATCCGAGAGTCGAGTGTAATTAAATTATCTTCAAGAATAATATTTTTCGCAAAAATCTTAATTTAATTTCTCTAATAAATTCAATTATTTTCTATACAATTTCAATTAAATTTGTCTATAAAATTTGCAATAATTCAATTATTTTTATAAACAAAATTCTTTGAAGGAATTCAATTATTTTCCAAAATTTTAATATTTTTCTCAAAATTCAATTTTATATAAATAATCACATTCTTTAGAGAAATTCAATTATATTCAAAACTTTTAATAAAATTTTTCTTTAAAAATTCAATTATTTTCGAAAATTTTAATGAAAATCTTTACATAATTTAACTACCTTCATTTTATATATTTTAAGAACTAAATTATTTATTTTTATATTTAAATAATTGAATATTGGTAGAATTTTCTAATAAAAATTTATTTAAAAATTAATTTCAGTTAAAATTTTAGATACTAATTGAAAAATAATTAATTTAAAAGCATTATCGCGTCAATTTTTAGAAATAATTAAATTTTAATAAGGTTTCAAATTAAAATTTTTGAAATTTTGAATTTTTCATACTTTTGATTAAGTATTCTATAGAATTAATTTTTCTCAATAAGTTTAATAGAATTTTTTTTTAATTATTTGAAGTTTTTAATTTCTAATATATTTAATTGAAGAATATCAGAATAATTGAAATTTCGTAAAATTAACTTGTAAACAAAAGAACTTGAAAATTCACAAAGAACTTTTTCAAAATTATTTTAAAGAAATTGAAGAATTTTAGTTGAAAATTCTAGAAATGAATAATCGTAATGAGGAAAATAATTTTTGATAAAGTTACAGTAACAAAGTAGCAATTTTAATTATTATAATATATAAAATATGAAGGAAGCGATCTCTCCGAGTCGAAGACTCGGAAATATCGATATCTGCATGTTTTATAATAATATTCTTATATGTTATTTAATTTCAAATTTTTGAAGATCTTAATTTCTATAAAAAAAATAATGATTAAATATTTATTTAAAAATGAAGTTATTGATGTTTTCGAATAATTTTCGTTATAAACACCTGGGAAAATTCTGTTTTTTAACCTGGAAAAGTCTGGTAATTTGAAGAGCAAAAGCGTGGCAACCCTGTTATAGTCATCTGATAAATCATAACATGCTCCAAAAATTGTTTATTTCTGAATCTCTTATTATGAATCTGGTATAAAATCTTTAATATTGTTATTTTTTAATCTTCATTCCTAGGAACTCTATAAGAAAGCTAATGAAGTTGGAATGACGAGAGATTGGGCAGATAATGATGAAATTCGAACGACATTTCTTTCCGTACTGGCTTTACCGATGCTACCAAGAGAACAAATTAGAATTGGATTATTTCACATCCAAACTAAAATTAACAACGAGAATGAAGGTGTTAATAATTTTATGGATTACATTTCAACACAGTGGATACAAAGCGTACAACCGCATCGTTTTTCAATACATCGTCAATATGATCGCATCTTCAACATCTTTCAACCGTATAGAAACCGTCTAGCATCAAAAATTGGCAACTTTGAAGAAATATGGAGTTTTACAAGTAAGTATTATATATTAATTATTAAGTTCAGAAAATTTACACTAGTCATTTTCGTGTACTCTATATTTCAAGTTTTTATTTTTATTAAAGTTAACGAATTATAAGTTATGTTTATGTTGGATTTATCTAGATTAAAATTTAATTATTAATTAAATACATTTTAAACCAGTTTCAGGCTTAACACTTATACACTAAAACTTACTATTTACTACTTCTTTATGTTATGCTACTATTTTGGTACTTTTTAGATTTTAAATACTAAAACCTTCAATTATTCTTTTAGATTTTAATAAAATCAGGCTTTGCACTCTTCTACTAAAACCAACTATTTACTACTTTTTTTTACGTTATGTTACTATTTGGCTACTTTTTTTAGATCTCAGCGACTAAAAGCTACTATTTCTGTTTTTTAAGAATTTTCACTACTTTTTTCGCTAATGCTAGAAATCAAAAAACTATTCTCCAAAATTATAATCAAATAATTTAAAACGATTCAATTATTTTCCAAAAAATATTCAAGATTCATCAATATCTAGTATTTTCATAAAATTTCACAAAAGAATTCAATTACTTTAAGAAAATTCAATTATTTCCATAAACAATAAAATTTCCACGGTAATTTAATTAATTTAGAATAGCATTTTCAAAAAAATTTCGAATAAATCAATTATTTAACAAAATTTTTATACAATCACAATAATTCAATTACTTTCACTAATAATTACATTTTTCATGGAAATTCAATTTTTTTAAAAAATTTTATAAATACTAAGCAAGAATTCAATTATTTTCATAAATACTAAAACTCATCGAAGAATTTTAATTATTTGTAATACTATTTTAAATTAATTAATCAATAAATTCAATTATTTTCACAAATAAAGTTTTCCACAAGAATTCAATTATTTAAAATAAAATTTTTATAATACTTATTATATTTCGAAAAAATTAATAGTTTAAAACAATGTATATAAAATTCTTATAAAGAATTCAATTCTTTACAAAAATAACAAAATTTTTCACAAAAATTCAACTCTTTTTAAACATTTTAATTAAATCATGCGCAAGAATTCAATTACTTTAAAAAATAACAAAACTTTTTACAGACATTTTCATAAATAATAATATTTTTCTCAAGAATTCAATTTTTTTTTAAAATTGTAATAAAATTTTTTGCAACTACTAAATTATTTTCATAAATAATAAAATTCTTCTCAGGAATTCAATAATTAGGAAAATTTAAGTACAATTTTACAGAAATTGCTCAAAAAATGTAACTATTCTTGAAAATTTAATTTCAATTTCTAGAAGAAATAAATTATTTATTTCCAAACAGAATTCAATAATTTAAAAATTTTTTTCTAAAAATCTTCGTTAAAATTTAATTTTTTCACAAATAATAAAAATTTCTCAGGAATTTAATTATTTATATTAGTGTTTGCATAAAATTAGTCGAAAGAAATCAATTATTTGAAAATTTTTCTAAAATACTTTGTAAGATTTAAATTATTTTTCTAAATATTTAAATTGTTTCATGAATAATAAAATTCGTTGCAGGAATTCAATTTATTAGCAGGACAAGAAAGAAGTTAATATTTTTCATAAAAATTAGGAAAAAGTCAGGAAAATAAAATATTGAATTTGGTCGTCAAGTTTAATTTTTCGATATCTACTTTTTTACTACATGTGTTTTAAGTTTGAAAGCTACTTTTTGCTACTTTTTAAAAATTAATTATCGAGTGCGAAGTCTACAGTTTTCATTGAATATTTTGGATGAACGAAGACTTGAACAACAATTATTTGTGATAAAAATTAATTTATTTGTTTTAACTATAAGAAATAAAAACATAACCTAACATTTTTTGCATAGATATTGTTCGACTTTAGAGATTAATTTATTGATTTAAAATTACTTGATTATACAACAATAAAAACTTAAGGAACAAACTCTTCAAATCTTAATAAGTCCAATTTTTACTAATGTAATTATTAAATTTTTAATTGATCAAAAAATTAGTAAATTAATGTGTTCTGGCTAATTAAATTAATAGTCCGTGATTAATATTTAATTTGTATGTAGTTTAAAGTACCTACTAAGATTGAATAAGCGATAACGTTGTCTTTTACCTATATACTATTTCATATTTTAGGAAAAATGGTTTCTCTACAAAGCAGACTTTTCCTTGATAAGCAGAAGATAGTAACTGAAAGGAGAAATGGAGTACAGTGCTCCAAATTGATAAATCGTGGTTTAAAATCTCAAATAATGAGAGCGTGGAATAATTTGGAGGCAAGGAGATTGTCACTTGAAGATTTTTTGACCAACGCCTCATACATCGCCGTCGAAAGCAATGTCGAGTTTTTGGAGGCCGACTATCAGAATGATGACCTCATTGAACTTATTGTTCCAGATGAAGATGGTAATATAATAATAATATATAATAATATAATTGGTCAGGGAAAAGTCAAAGAGTTTTATTGAAAGTACTATAAAAAATTTAATTTTTATAATTTATAAGAAAATTTTGAATTTTAGTGTCTTTTTTGATTGACTTATAAGCCATTAATTAAATTTTAAAAGAGGTACTTTTACAATTGTGAAAAATACATAAATAAAATTAAAAAGGTTTCAATTTGAAATTTTTTTTTTGAAAAATTTTAGTAAATTAAATTCGCCTGAAATTCGTTAAATTTTTTAATATATATTTAATTAATTTTTAAAAATCAAGGATTTATAGGAGAATTTTAGTTTAAAACACTACAAAAAGTTAAATTTCGGCAAAATTTTACAAGAATTCAATTATTGACATTTCTTTAAAATTTCTTCGTAATAATTCCACAATTTTTTTAATAAATAAAATTTTTCACAGAGATTTTTTTTTCGTAAATAATAAAATTATGTTTAGAAATTCAACTATCTTTGTAAATAATAAAACTCATTGAAGAATTTCGATTATTCAATAAATTATTTATTTTTGTATTTAAATAATTGAATTCTCCTAGAATGTTTTAATGAAAAATTATTTAAAATTTAATTTGAGTTTAAATTTAAGATGATAATTGGTTTTTGAAAGCATTATAGCGAGTATTTTTAGAAATAATCGAATATTAAAAAGTTTACAAATTATTGACTTTGAAAATATGAATTTTTAATACTTTTAATTAACAATTCTGTCAAACTAATTTTTTAAGATATTTTAATTTTAATTATTTTGAAATTAGTAGACGTTTTTAATTTATATTTATATATTCATTATTTTAATACTTAAAATAATTGGTTTACAGGAGAATTCGAGTTATTTTCAAAAATTTTCATCAATTTTATGATTTTCAATATCTACTACTTTTATACAATATTCCAAAAGAATTTAATTATTTAAATAGATTAAAATAAAATTCTACAAAAAAATGTAAGCTGTTTCCTAAATAATAAAAATTTAACAGAATTTTATTTTTTTTACAAATTTTTTATAAATCTCTTCAAAATAATTGAAGGGCTCCATGAAATAAAGGGAGTAACGCGTTATTCAAAGGAGTCAGGTAGCAATGAGCTGCTCAAAGCTTGTCACTTCTACCCAACTGGTAATATCCCTTCCAATTATTTTGAAAAATAATAAAATTCTTTTTAGGAATTCAAATATTTTTATAAATAATGAATCTAATCACAAAATTTCAATTATTTTTTATACAATTTTAATTCAATTCCATCGATAAATGTAATTATTCTTCAACTTTTATTATAATTCGCCAAGAGAGTTGAATTAAAAGAAACTTAATATTATTCAATAAATTAATTATTTCTTATTTAAATAATTTTATTCTTATAGTTTTCTTATAAAAATTAATTTTAAAATTAATTGCAGTTAAAATTTTGGATAGTTACTTGAATATTAAAAGCATTTTAGCGTGGATTTTTAAAAATAATTAAATTTTGAAAAGGTTTAATTAAATTCTGAATTTGTTAGACTTTTAACTAACGATTCTGTAGAATTAATTTTTTTTTTTGAAAAAGTTTAAGATCATCCAGGAAAAAATAGAGGTTTCGTAGAATACACTATATTCAAAAAGAAAAGCATATTTCGGGTTGTAATTTTTTGGAAATAATAGAGAACGGGGCCCTGCAGGGGAACATGTCGGTATTTTGCATAATTATTATAAATAATTGTTAAAACATTCGGTTTTGAGTTCCTGGATTTAAAGAAGAATTTTATTTAAAAATTCTAGAAAATAATAAATGAATTGAAGTGATGAAAATAATTTTTGAGAAGTTATAGTTACAATATTTTTATAATATAAAATAATGATATTATCACTCGATCATCTTTAATTATTACAAAACATAAAGAAATTCCTTTATGTTTTGTAATATTCTTATAAGTTATTAAATTTCAAAAGCTTTGAATTTTAAAATTTAGAGTGAATCTAATTCTTTAAGGTGAGGGGAAATATCAAAATGTTGTCCGAAAATCATAGAAAAGTCAGGGAAAAACTGAATTAAATTTTTGTGGCAACCCTAATTCTTTTAATTAATTTTCTAATTATAAATTTTTTAAACTAAAGGTAATGATAATGCGAACATGCATGAAGATGCAGCAATTATTATTGACATCGCGGCAGATGACGAAATTGATGCTAATAATCGTATTGAAGAAGAAGAAGCAGGGGATAATAATAGAGGTAATTCAATTTTTTATTACATTATATTTACAATATAAATACTACTTAATGCTAAAAATAATATACGAATAGAAAAAAAAAGATTTTTCAAATTATAACGGATGATTTGAAATATCTTACATTCTTCTAATTTTTTAATTGTTTTAATACTTCAATTTCACTTTGATTAATTACACCCCATGAAATATTTTTTCCAAAATATACTTGTAGAATTTTTTTAACTATTAGTGGTCAAAAGTTTACTATAGAATACACTAACATACCTAAAGTATATTCGCCATTATACATTTTTTCACTATTGAAAAAACACAGAGATAAAGAGTTAACAAAAACAGCTAATGATTACCTAACTTAGCTAAGTCTAATTCCTGTTATATAAATATCAATTACTAACAGGTATTACAGCTAATATGCTTATCTGCGACATCTAAATATCAGCTACACTGAGAGAAATTTCTGCATAAAATAGTATGAACTATAGCCATACTTTTTTCACATCTATATGACATACGCCATTGGTGAAAACATCATACTCATTTCGTAGAGATAACGCTTTTTTGGTATGATTGCTGAGCGAGTTCAGTATGTTTTCATAACAAAAACTCACGACAGAAGGGTATGTGAAGCGCGTTGAGTATTTCAATACTATTTTTTGCAGAAATTTTTCTCAGTGTACCTGCAGCTAAAAATTATCTATGCATATAATAACAAATATGCTTTTCTAAGTGCTAAAATTTTCTCTTAGGGATCATACACAAACTACGTAAGACTTTAAGGGGGCAGAGGGGGGGGTCAAGTTAAATCTTACAAACAGCAGAAAAAATGGCGCTAATGTATAGAAAATGTCTTACGATGGGGGAGGGGGGGGGTCAAAATTTCTGATAATATGCCTTAAGTAGTTTGTGTACGGCCCCTTATACAACTGTATTAAAAATTAAAAATATTTTAAAAATTTCGACATTCTTTCAGAAATCATTGACAATGAGCCCAATCTTGTTAAAGAAGGGAATAATGGAGGTAATTTCTTTGATATAAATCTTTATATTTTAAAAAATTTCTAAATCTATTTTAAGAAATTCGATTTTTTTCCAGAAATAATTGCCAATCAACCCAATCTTCCTATTGAAGAGGAACGTAATAATGGAGGTAAATAAATTATTTTTAAAATTTAATATTTTTAATACAAAATTTTTTACTAATAATTTCTTTCAGAAATCATTGACAATGAGCCCAATCTTGTTGAAGAAGGGAATAATGGAGGTAATTTCTTTGATATAAATATTTATAACTTAAAAAAATTTTTAATCTATTTTAAAAAATTCGTTTTTTTCAGAAATCATTGCCAATCAACCCAATCTTCCTATTGAAGAGGAACGTAATAATGAAGGTAAATAAATTATTTTTGAAATGTAATATTTATAATAAAAAAATATTTACTAATATTTTTCAAAATTATATATTCTTCCAGAAATGATTGTCGTGAATGAAGCTCCCCAAAACAACATCATCAATGCAGGTAATTAAATAATCTTATAATAATATATTTTTATAATAAATATTGAGTAGAGTTGACTAGGGCATTTTACTGTTCATCTAAGGATTTCTTAGTTTGTAAATTTTGTTTGAAAGATATCGAAAAATAGTAGATACGTAACGAATATAATATTTATTGCTTCAATTAAATTAAATTATTTACTTTTAGGTGTTAATGTAACTAATAACAAATTTATTTTCTGTTTTCATGCAGATTAAAATTGCAGCAAATGCGTAATTTGCTACGAAAACATACCAAATTATGTTATTGTAAACTGTGGGCATATTTGTCTTTGCGAGGAGTGTGCCAACAACGATCATTTTACCAGTCCACCTAACAAAGAATGTCCGATTTGCCGGAGTGAAATATTAATGATAATCAGGACATACACTTTGTAAAAAAGACAGGTGAGTTTAAATAATTTTTCAATAACATCCAAAAATGACCCTAATTTAATGAATTTATGTATGTTAGTATATGTATCCTGGAAAATTGTTGCTTTCTAAAGTTATTGTGTTTATTCTTAAAATCTAATTTCACTTAAATATTTCAAAATTAAGTCAATTTTAAAAGAATTGTGTTTACAATTTTCATAAGTAGATGAACTTCAAAAGATTTTGATATAAAACTGTAAGATTTCCATTTTAAATTAATTGTAATAAAAAATATAAAAAAACTTAGATTTAAAAAAAAAATTTTAAACTTAAATTCTTCTAAAATTAGTTAAATTTTTTTAAATATATATATTTATGTAGTTTTATTAAAAATAATGGATTTATAAAAGAATTTTAGTTAAAAACACTGAAACAAATTGAATTTTGAAGCAATTACAAATTATTGCAAAGAGTTTAATTATTTTCAAAAACATTCCTCAATTCAGTGATTCTTAATATATACTACTTTAATAAAAACTCCTAAAAGAATTCAATTAGTAAAAAAAATGTTAATAAAATTCTACGCAAACATTTAATTATTTTCATAAATAATAAAAATTTCAAAGGAATTCAATTATTTACATATTATTTTCATATATTATTCAATTATTTTCATAAATAATAATAATTTTTACAGGGATTCAATTATTTTCATAAAAATCAAACTCAATGCTGAATTTCAATTATTTTTAATACAATTTAAATAAAATTGCTCGAAAAAAGTTATTCTTAAAAATTTTATTAAAATTTATCAAAGAAATTTAATTATTTTAATAACCTTTGCTAGAATATATTTATTAGAATTTAAGTATTTTTTTAAATAAATTTTTAATTAAATTTCTTTAAAAAATAAAATTATTTTCAATAATTTTAATGCAAATATTTGCGTAACAATTCAATTTTTTTGAAAAATAATTTTAATAAAATTCTTCACAGAAATCAAATTCAATTGTTTAATAATTGAAATTCTTCGCAAAAGAAATATTATTCTGCATAAAATTTAATAAAATTTTTGTCAAGGATTTAATCCTAATCTTTATAAATAATAAAATTCAAAAGTATAAAAATTTCTTTACCAGAATTCAATTACCTCCATAAATATTGAAATTATTCCCAAAAAATGTTAATAAAAATCTTGGCAAGAATGTAATTATTTTTAATAATTAATCAAATTCTTCACAAAAAACTTCAAATATTTTCAAAAATATTAAAAAAGTATTTCAACATGATTAAATTATTTTGAAGAATAATAAAAATTTTCTCAAAAATCTTAATTTAATTTCTCTAATAAATTCAATTATTTTCAATACAATTTCAATTAAATTTGTCTATAAAATTTGCAATAATTCAATTATTATTTTTTATTTTTCCCAAAATTCATATTTTATAATAAATAATCACATTCTTCAGAGAAGTTCAATTATTTTCAAAACTTTTAATAAAATTTTTCCTTAAAAATTTAATTAGTTTCGAAAATTTTAATTAAAATCTTTACATAATTTAACTACCTTTATTTTATATATTTTAAGAACTAAATTATTTATGTTTATATTTAAATAATTGAATATTGGTAGAATTTATAATAAAAATTTACTTAAAAATTAATTTCAGTTAAAATTTTAGATACTAATTGAAAAATAATTAATTTAAAAGCATTATCGCGTCAATTTTTAGAAATAATTAAATTTTAATAAGGTTTCAAATTAAAATTTTTGAAATTTTGAATTTTTCATACTTTTGATTAAGTATTCTATAGAATTAATTTTTCTCAATAAGTTTAATAGAATTTTTTTTTAATTATTTGAAGTTTTTAATTTCTAATATATTTAATTGAAGAATATCAGAATAATTGAAATTTCGTAAAATTAACTTGTAAACAAAAGAACTTGAAAATTCACAAAGAACTTTTTCAAAATTATTTTAAAGAAATTGAAGAATTTTAGTTGAAAATTCTAGAAATGAATAATCGTAATGAGGAAAATAATTTTTGATAAAGTTAGAGTAACAAAGTAGCAATTTTAATTATTATAATATATAAAATATGAAGAAAGCGATCTCTCCGAGTCGAAGACTCGGAAATATCGATATCTGCATGTTTTATAATAATATTCTTATATGTTATTGAATTTCAAATTTTTGAAGATCTTAATTTCTATAAAAAAAATAATGATTAAATATTTATTTAAAAATGAAGTTATTGATGTTTTCGAATAATTTTCGTTATAAACACCTGGGAAAATTCCTTTTTTTAACCTGGAAAAGTCAGGGAATTTGAAACAGCAAAAGCGTGGCAACCCGGATTCAATTTTAATTAAAAATATGGACTAAAATTGCAATTAAATTTAAAATATAACAATTTCAATTTTGGATTGCAATCAATATAACATTTTTATTAAATTGTAATTTACAGGTTCCTCGGATAATCAACAAATGTAATCAGAAAGCAGTAATAACGATGAGTGGAGTACAACAACATCTGCTTCTTTTAAATGCAGATGCTTCTAATCGGTCAAATAGACATGTGATGTTTCGATTCAACGTCTAAGAGACGAAAAAGAGCTTTAATAATGTTTTAAACAGTATTTTTACTATGAGACTGAATATTTTAGTAACTGTACATAAAATATATGCAGGCTGTTCAGGCTAATTTTGCGAATCGATAAGTAATATCGAATTATGTTCTTTGGGACGAGATGGGTTTCCCTCTTTTTCTCATGTGAGATAAGTATATTTGAAATTCTGTTCGAGTGTTACATTTTTTTGTTTTCCAAATACTGTTCTATGTTGTTGGTAATTTCAATTCTTGTATTCGGCACTACGATTTAAACTATGAGACTGATTTTTTTAGAAAAACAAATCTAAGCGGATTAATAACAGATATTTATATTTGATAATATTTGATAATAATATTTTATTTATTAAAACTATTGTTTAAACTACACATAAAATATATGCAGCCTGTTCAGGGTAATTTTGCGAATCGATAAGTAATATCGAATTATGTTCTTTGGGACGAGATGGGTTTCCCTCTTTTTTTCATGTGAGATAAGTATATTTGAAATTCTGTTCGAGTGTTACATTTTTTTGTTTTCCAAATACTGTTCTATGTTGTTGGTAATTTCAATTCTTGTATTCGGCACTACGATTTAAACTATGAGACTGATTTTTTTAGAAAAACAAATCTAAGCGGATTAATAACAGATATTTATATTTGATAATATTTGATAATAATATTTTATTTATTAAAACTATTGTTTAAACTACACATAAAATATATGCAGGCTGTTCAGGGTAATTTTGCGAATCGATAAGTAATATCGAATTATATCCCTTGGGACGAGATGGTTTTCTCTCTATTCTGTTCGAGTGAAACATTTTTTTTGTTTTTCAAATACTGTTCTGTTTTAAACATTTCCAATTCTTGTATTTAATTAATAAACAATGTTCGAGAATTAAAAAATAAAAAATTATTCGCAATGTTTTTTAATACCTTAATTGATTATTATCGTCAGTGCGCTGAAAAAACTGTTTTCGAAATTTTTGGAAAAATAGTATGCCAGTTTTATTTCACAATGGTTACAAAATTTTTTGAACTAATAATGTTGAATAATTTCGAAACTTTGTTTTAAAATTTAGAAAAATTTTAAAGCTAATAGCGATTTTTTTCTCTATAAGTAATAGTAAATGCACTTATTTAATTAATGCTGCTCCAATAAACAAATAAAAATTACAAGCTGGTGAAAAATAGAAATAAAACGAGTTAATCATATGTATATATTTATTAAGTCTTTCTTTTATTTTAAATTACTAATTTAAATAAATAAAATAATAGTGTAAAATACATTAATTTAATTTATTAATAAATAAGACTGGTAATTCTAATATACAATTAAATCATAATTATTTAACATAATTTTTTTTAATTATTCAAATATTCAACATACATATATAAAGATAAGTTAAGTTCTTCTCAAATAAAATTTTTCGAATCTTTCTATTTTTTAAGTAGTTATGTTGCAACCAAATACACATATTTGTTTTATAAATCTAATTTTTTATTTATTTACTTACTTATTTTAATAAAAAAAAACTTAATATTCCCGTTAATAATTCTTTTCAAACAAATATATATAATTAAAAAAATGTTCAAATTTATAAAGCGTAAATACTTACCGTTTTTAATTGCATAAAGCTGGATAATAAAACTCACGGTATGCACTGAAAAAAAAACTTGTTACATATTCTTATGTAACTGATTTAAACATTCAGTATCTAGTGACGCCATCTGGTAACGTAATTTGAATAAATGCCGTCGTATTTAGTAGATTCAGAAATACAGAGATGAGAAACTCTTATTAAAATTGTAACGTTGGTAGCATTAGGTCAAATGCGATTTCTATCATGTGGAAATTATGGAATTTGCCAATTCTGATTTTTGGTAATTCTATAAAACGACAATTCGAATAAAAGAACAATATGTCACATACAAATGAGGTAGAAATAGATTTATGTTAAACAATTAATATAACAATTTTAAATTAGGTGAAATAAAGTTTCGGCAAAACAAAAATTATGTTAAATAATCTTTCTGCTAAATAAACATTCGGCTGAATGCTACTTCGAGTTAAGTGAATTTCTGTTAAATAAACATTAGAGCAAATAGGATATAGTTTATATGACAATTCTGTAAAAAATAAATACTGGTAAATAATTATTCGAGACAATGGTAATTATAACGAATGACATTTCGATTAAATGAAATTTATAACTCATCACATTTAGATTAATTGATAATTAGGTTAAAAAACATTTCGATTAAAAAAAAAATGTTAATTAATTATTTTGAAAAATAGGAATTATGACAAATGATATATCGGAAAATCGGAAATTAGTCCAAACAATTAATTGGACAAATGAAAATTATGTCAAATGTTTTTTCGGACTAACGAAATCTCTGTTACTTAATATATCTGCAAAATAAAAATTAGAGTAAATGAATCATCGAGAAAATGAAAATTAGATTAAATAATAATTCTAATAATATAGCTTATGGCAAATGGTGATTCGGTCAAGTGAATTTCGGTTACTTGTTATTATGTCAAATGAGATTTGTGGAACATTGATGCGTCCCTTTAAATTCAACAATTTTACCCTCTGTGCCATCGGCTGTTTCATTGTTGGTTTATACACTTTCCGCGGACGCAGTCGCATGTGTATTGTAAAATACCAATTATCTTTTAACTATTAATATATATTGGGGTCGAACATTACTTTTTATTAATTGTCTATTAATATTGATTAAAGAAAAAATTTAAAAAATTAAATTTTTAGATTATAAGTTTTACATAGGGACAAAGTTCTAAGTTCAAACATTATCTATTAACTTGATGATTTTCTCCTTATGTAAATTGTAGAGTTTAAAAATTAAGTGTTAAAAATTTTTTTTCTACTCTATATTAATAGACAATTAATAAAAAGTTATGCTTTACCCCAATATATATAATTGATTAAAAGTTATTTAATATTTTATAACCTCGACGACTATTATCGTAGAATGGATTATCAATGCTATTTTAAATATTGAACTCATTCCGTGGAAACGCTCGCATTTATTATAAAAATTCATTAAAATTTGAAATAATAATAAAAGATAAATGAACTTTTATTCTTACAATGTATACAAGTTTTATAGATTTTATTGAAAGACATCTAATTTAAAAAAAATACAAAGAGTGCTCACAAGTCTGATAAGTTTGCACTTGTCCAATATGTGTAAAAAGAATTTTAAAAATTCAAATTTTCGAATAAGTAATAAAAGTTTATTCGTTTAATGAATAATATTATTATTATTATTATTATTATTATTATTATTTATTTATTTTTTTTTGTCTCCCTTTATCCTAGGTATTATATAGAAATCAATAAATAAATAAATAAATAAATAAATAAATTTACATGTATATAATAACACACTCCGCGGACACAGTTACATGTATTGTAAAATATCACTTATATATATATATATATATAAAAACTACTCCGTGGACACAGTCACACACATATATATATATATAAAATAACACATTCCGCGGACGCAGTCGCATGTGTATTATAAAATACCAATTTTATATATATATATATATATATATAACCCACTCCACGGACGCAGTCACATGAATTATAAAAAATCAAAAAATTAAAAAAAACACGGAGAGAGATTCTGTTTTAATATTTCGTATTATTATATTAGTATTTAGTAAAACCGATTGCAATTTGGGGAAATCATGTACATTTATGAATTAATATTACCATTTTTAAGAAAGTTTATAATCAAATTATTACCTTGTATTATTCTGAAGTAATAGAAATTGAAATAGTCAATAAGAAATTATATTATTATAAGTAAGAAAGTATGCAATAGTAAAAAGTATTACCAGATGATTATACTAAATACTATCAAAGAATTACATAAGTTGTTAATTTAGTAATGAATAGTATTATCGACTATAATAAAAATTATGACCAGCCTAGTAGCATGCTATAGCAGGCTATGGGCTGACGTCAGGCTGACGTAGAGCGGTTACGAAGTTGTCCGAGATTAGCCGAATATTTCAGTCGAGCAGTTCCGAAATTACCCGAGTCAAACCTCGTGGCAACATGTGCACGTTGTGTTTACCCCAAAACGTTTTAATTTGATGTGTCAAATTTACAGTGAAAAAGTTAATTTGCGTAAGTATTATATTTCAATAATGTTTAAAATTAAAAGTTTTTTCATAAACTTAACATGTTATAAAAATTAAAATCTTTAACATAGAAAATGAGTGTCTACGATTCTAATTTGCTGTGTTTAGAAGAGAATTCCGAGGACAAACTCTTTGCAGATATAAATATTGAAGGAATTTTTGGACCTTCGCCTCCAAAACAAATACGAAAAATTTTATCCCCAAACGTGAGTAATATTTCACATTATATTTTCACATTGTCAATATTAACTACAATTTTTCTTAAACATTATTCCAATATAAAATTATAATTTATTTTCAAATATGAAAATTTATACGAAATGAGTACAATACTTTGATGAAGCAAGTTTTTGACCTTGCTAGTATTTCATTGTGTGTTTTTACATTACAATCAAATCTGTTTTCAACTTAAAAGGACACGATAATTGAAGATCTGGATAGCGGAGAAATCAACGTTCATTCGTCTTCAAAACAAACGCTACAAATTTTATCGACATATGTGAGTAAACTAATTTTATTAATTTTAGTAATAACTGAAAACTTATAAATATAATTAGAATTCTAGGTTGTTGATAATACTTTCAAAAACTAAATTTTTGTTAAATCATTAAATTCAAATTACAAAAGTAAATATTTACAATATCAAATATTAAATATCGTGTATTAAAATACTTCACAAATTTACAATAATAATTTAATTTTCATTTCATTTTAAATATTATTTGAATCAAAATTTAAAATATACTCTGAATATAATCAAAATTAAATACCTTTTTAATATGTTTATGTCACGTTATACTAAAAACTTATATTATTACTTAATAATATTGATGGCTTTATCGAACACTCCGAGTCATTAAAAAAAATTTAAAAAATATTCTTTATATGTTTCAACGGCATCTATAAAGCCATTAATATTATTAAATACTTAATATTATTAAATATTTGATAAATTCAAATAAATATTATATTATTTCTTATTGTAAACATATTCCTAATTTTTAATTGATTTTACATATATCTCATAGGTAAATCCAAAGATAATTGATGTTCAACCCACAAACAATAATTTTAACATAAACGACGAAAAGGAAAACACTCCACTTAGCGAATTTGAGACGGTAAGTCTTTGCCTTGGCGGGCTGTTTTTATTTCCTTATTTGCATTAATTACAAATCTTTTATGTGTACATCTGTAAAATTAATATAAACATACAAAAATTAATGTTTCAGAAAGTTCTTGCTTTTCTTAAACAAGATCCTACAGCAAAATTAGTTTTTTCTCACTATAAGAGCCACAATGTACTAAACAAAGCTACAAGGAGTCTTTTAACTAGGTGTATCATAAGTAAACTGAAAAATGATGCTATAGAACCACTTGCAATTGGCGAGAAACTGGAAAAATTTCAGTAAGAAAAATAAATAACATTTCCATACATTTAAATTTTTAATTTAACAATTTGTATATTAAATTTTTTTTTCTCAATAGCATACCTCGCTCAGTTTTTATTTTACTAGCTAACTTAATTGAGAAAACTTTTCCTGGAGAAGAAGCTAGTACTTACTATAGTCCTTATAGGTCAGAAAATGGTATATCTTTTCAAACGTGTGGAACTCTGTGGGCTAATTACAATTATGTAATTGAAACCTTGAGAAAAAACAATATTTTGAAAGTCGCAAATACTAAAGGCAAAAACTGCAATTCTGAAAGGTCGCTTAGCTGTACTTCTCTCGGTAAGTTCTAAAAATTTGCTTTTCACTATTATTAAGTATCAATTTTAAATTTACATTTAATTAAATTTTGAAAATCTTTCAGATGAAGAAGCATTAAGCACAGCTTTAAATAATGTGGAGACATCATTAGATTCGCCTTCTCTTTCTCAAGATTGGGATACAACATACAACTACAGAAGTACTTTATTATTAAACGACAAAATTTCAATCTCCGAATATATAAACAAATTTCCTGCTTTGAAAACGCAAGTTGCTAAACAGTTGGTATGTATTAACATGTTAAATTTTTTATACAATAATTTTTAACAATCAGAAAAAACAATTAATACAAATTCATTTCCTAATTATTATTTGTTATCTGTTTCATGCTTGCAATTACTATACGTATTGCTTAAATGTGTATTTTAATTATAGTTTCAACAAGATTTTGAGAGAATTCATCCCGGACGTGTTGAATCTTTACGAATTAAGTGGACATGTATTAAAGACGTTTTAATTACACAGTTACAAGCTCTGGAAAAAAATGTGAATAGAAAGAACAAATTATTTGTTGATGATATACTTTTTATTAGAAATCTTCCTAAATTAGGAGCAGGTAACATATCAAACCGTGTTACGATTACTAAATAAAATTTATTACAATATATTTATTAAAATTATTTTTTTAGAAAAGCAAGATGTTGTGATTCTCCGTCTTCTGCAATTATTGATAAACGATGGGAATGTAGGACGAAAAAGAAAAATTGATACTTCAGAACCAGTTAAAAAATATAATTTTGAAGAGATACGCGATTCGTTTATATCTAGAGTAAAGGTAAAATGAATTATTTATGTAGTATAAATTATATACACAATTATTAGATTTCGTATTAAAATTGTAATTTTACATTATATTAAAAATAATTTTTCAGTACATGAACAGAAGAAATAAAAGTTGCTAAAACTTTTATTAAAAATTATTATTATTATTATTATTATTATTACGTTTTAACAATATTAAGTAGTTTTTAAAATAAAAATATGAATTGTAATTTCAGCAAATTAGTGATCTTGAATCAAGGATAGAGCAACTGAGAAATATTGTATCGAGCAGAAAAGAAACATTGCAACCTTTTATTATTGCTGTTGGAGAAGAATGGGACACTGTTACAACGTTTTACGTTGTTCTCGATAATCAGAAATACAAATTTAGTACTTGCATTGATGCTGTAGATTTGACATTCAAAATCTTTTACGCTTTAGATTGTTCGTATCCAAAGCCTTCATTTCGATTGTGGCAATTTATTCAATTAGGAGGTTATGACATACCTTTATCTCAAACAACAATCAAGTCAATCAAAGAATTATTGGGTCTTATAAAAAGGGCGACGGAAAATTGTAGATCAGACGAAAATTTTAATTATCAATCATGATTGTTTGCAATTTCTGTCAGGAAACATTTATTAACAATAATACGTTTATAAAACATGTTCGTTTAACACATGTTGAATTAAAGATGTTCACTTGTAGTGAATCTTACTGCAGTAAAACATTTACGAAATTCGATTCTTTCTTAAGACATAGAAATATTAAACATAATGAGGAAACAACAGAATTTCCTACTTCACATGATAATTTGGAAAGCATCAACTTAAATGAGGATTTAAACTTTACTCTGGAAGGAAGTGTTTTAAACACACAGTATTTTGAATACTCTTCGGATTCGAGTGACTCTGACTTAGATTGGACTTTAAAAGAGGATAATATGGTTTGGAATGATAATACTTCAAAATCTTCAACAAATATTCTGGATGAGATGTCCGATACTACAAAAGTCATAAATGATAAGGCTTTGAAATTTGTGGGAAAATTGTATCAGTTTCCAGATTTGCCTAGAAAAAGAGTTGATTCAATTTTAAGTGATGTCTCTGAGTTGTTTGAATCATCTTTAAACTCTTTTAAAAGCGAAATATTTAATCGTCTTCAAAATGTGAAATTATCGGAAAACAATGTTTCAGAAATCGATAACGTGATTGAACAATTTGCTAAACCTTTTCGAAATATAGATACAGAGAATAAAAGATTTTCCCAATTTAAACATTGCAATACATTTATTATGCCTGAAACTTACAAGATAGGAGAGAGAGTAGAATTTAAAACAAGACCTACTGGAATTACACGAGAAAACGTTAAAGTTACTGCTCAATTTATTCCTATAAGATATGTACTTAAAAAGTTTTTAGAATTACCAGACGTTTTTACAAAAACTATGGAACATGTTAATAGTTTAAATTGTAGTCATAAAATTATTTCAAATTTGATTCAAGGTTCCCATTGGAAATCTAAACTTGCAAGTCATGAATCTAAAAAAATAGTTTTCCCTCTAATAATGTATTATGATGACTACGAAAATAATAATCCATTAGGCAGCCATAAAGGTATCTCAAAATGCGGAGCTGTTTATTTAAGTATTGCTTGCTTACCTAAAGATTTTCAATCTAAAATAGAAAATATTTTCTTGTTTATACTTTTCAATACTTTGGATAGAACAGCTTTTAAAAACTCTATAATTTTTGAAAAAGTCATACAAGAAATAAAATTTTTACGCGAGGAAGGAATTGAATTAAATCTACCCACTGGTAAAGAAATCGTTTACTTTGACTTAGCTTTAATTATTGGCGATAATTTGGGGCTTAATTCAATATTTGGATTTGTTGAAAGCTTTCGTGCTTCTAAATTTTGCCGTTTTTGCTTGACAGATTTTAAAGATATAAATATAATTTTAAAAGAAAAAAATTGCATTCTCCGTAATAAAGAAAATTATAATTCTTTACCTATTAATTCAGCTAATGTATCTTCCACAGGTGTAAAGGAAACTTGTGTTTTTAACAAAATTCCAGAATTCCATGTAACAAACAATCCTGCGGTAGATATAATGCATGATGTTCTAGAAGGTATTTGTAGATACGATATCGCATTCATTCTACATTACTTCATTTATATTAAAAAATACTTTTCATTAGAACAACTTAATATTAAATTGCAGGCTTTTTATTATGGCCCTAACGGAAATATTAACAAACCTCCAGAAATTTTAGAACAACATTTAACAAAAAAACGAAAATGTATTATTCTATCTTCTGCAGAAATGTTTAATTTAACAAAAAATTTAAATCTAATAATCGGATCATATGTTACTGAGAACGATGAATATTGGCAGTTATTACTATTGTTACAAGAAATTTTACAAATATTATTCAGTCAAAAAATAACCTTTGAAACTCCAGATATTCTAGACTCTAAAGTTTCAGAATATTTAGAGTTACTGACTGTAAATTTGAAATATAACTTAAAACCGAAACATCATAATTTAATCCACTATTCATCCATCATGCGAAAAGTTGGTCCTCTCTGTTATATTTCCTGTATGCGCTTTGAGAGCAAGCATCAGGAGGCTAAAAAATATTCTCATGTTTCTATTTGCAGAGTTAACGTATGTAAGAGTATTGCTATCCGACATCAATTAAAATTAAATTACAGATTAATGTGTAATACTTTAAGTTATCCAACGTATGTAACTGGCAAGAAAAAAAAAGTACCGTTAAAATGTTTAAGAGATATATCGAGTTATGTTCAATTGTTACCAAATGGAATTCCTAATAGTTTGTTAACCACTAATAAGATAGAATACACTGGGAACACTATTAGACCAGACACAGTAATTGTAATGTTCTCGGAATTGGGTGAACAATTTTATTTTGTTCATTCAATAATTTTAATCGACAATGAAGATTTCCTAATTGTAGTAAAAAGTATAGTCCATTGTCTTTTAAATGAGCATTTGAGAGCATTAAAAATTTACGAAGATGAATTAGAACATTGGCAGGTATTTAAAAAAAATGATTTAAGAAATGCTGCATTTTCTTATGCCAATAAATTAAATGATGGGTTTTTTTATATAACGAAAAATTGGATATAATTTCAATATAAATCAGTTTCCAGAAACAAACAATTTTAAAAACAGTAATATGATAAACATTTCTGAATAAAATTTTGACCCAGCATACAAAAGTATGTATTTATAATGTAAAATAAATTAAGAACCTTTTTTAAACAAAATATTGAGAAAATATCACTTTCTCACAAGTTCAGAAAATTTCTCGAGTTTAGTATATAAGGAAGTTGAGAACTGTATCTCCCAATGTACAGCGTGCGTGCGTTATTGCGTTTATTTGGATTTAAGTTAAGTTTATATGTATGCGTTTATAGGTTTTAACATAGATCTCCGAAATTGTATATAGTTTGTGTTTGTATAGTATGATGTATAGTATGATGATTTAAAAGTGAATTTCAAAATATAATCTTTGAAAATTTAAACTTTTCATATTTTTAATTAAGAATTCTATAGAACTAATTTTTCTTAATTTGTTTAATAGAATTTTTTTGAATTATTTATCGTTTTTAGTTTCTAATATATTTA